GCAGATTCCATCGCGAACATGCTCGCTGTATCGTGATCGGTGAGCGCGATACTGATAAGCCGTTGGGTGACCCGTTCTTCCACGATTGGGTTAGCCTATCCGACGGGTTGTGCTTGAACGGCCTTGACCTTCCTTAGCTCACGCTCAGCCGCCTCCGCGCGAGCCTCCAAGCTTCGGATGCGTTCATCTCTCTTCTCTATTTCTCGGCGAGCAGCACGGAGACGCATGCCAATTTCGTAGGCGGTGTAGAGCCCCTTCACCGCACAGTGAATGCCTTCACAAAACACTTCGAAGTCCTGCCAACCTACCATCGACTGCTGGACCTCGGGAGGAAAAATCTGTCGAGCAAATTTGACTGCCACACTTGAATCTCGAACGATCGAGTCTGCATCTGTCATGGGTTTATTCCTGACGAAGACTGCAAAACTCAATGGGCGTGGGTTCGTACCGGGCTCCCTTCCAGAACGGGGTTATGGGGATTTACCCTGTGGCTCCTTGTCCCTCCTAGGTGACCTACTTCGACGACAAGGAGATTCACGTCTCTCCCGATCCCTCGAAATCCTACCTCCCGCGCGCGAAGGTTCGCTACTTCGATTCATGTCTCCTCCTAGCTCAGCTAGCGTCCTCGCCTCCCCTTTGCTGTTAAAGAAGAGTCTATTCGACATTCGCACTTGTTTATTCTTCATCAAAGACCTGGACTGAGTTGCTCACTGAGAACATAGATAGAACCTTCATTCATTCATTCATTTATTCCCTACGAGGGCAGTGCCATCGAGGCAATCTCATTAATATCGAAACCTCAACAGCCCGGCGTTGATTGAGTCGTGCCCCCATCAAACACTGTTATTCGACAGTCTTAACTTCCGCAAGGGCAAATTCATGAACCAGTTGTGGCAAGGGCAGATTAATCAATCTATTCGACTTGAGTGTCGCAGCTGCTTCACGAATCGACTCATCAATATTGTCTGATTCGGCGTTTAATGTTCATGAACTAGCTAGGGTAAAGGCAGATTCATCAATCTATTCGGCTTGAGTGCCGCAGCCGCTTCATGAATTGACTCATCAATATTGTCTGATTCGGCGTTTAATGTTCATGAACCAGCTGGGGCAAGGGCAGATTCATCAATCTATTCGGCTTGAGTGCCACAGCCGCTTCATGAATCGACTCATCAATATTGTCTGATTCGGCGTCTAATGTTCATGAACCAGCTGGGGCAAGGGCAGATTCATCAATCTATTCGGCTTGAGTACCACAGCCGTTTCACGAATTGACTCATCAATATTGTCTGATTCGGCGTTTAATGTTCATGAACTAGCTGGGGCAAGGACAGATTCATCAATCTATTCGGCTTGAGTGCCGCAGCCGCTTCACAAATCGATTTACTAGTCCTATTCGGCACCAAGAGTCGATTTACTTGTTCGGATAAATTAAAGTTTAACTAATATAATTTCCAAGATTACACTGCTATCCAATCGATAGTTAAAAGGCACAATGGACAATAATCATTTTATCCAAAGTAGTGGAAGGCAAAACTCTTCATTAATATCAAAAGCTGCGTACAAGTAATAGTGAAACGGGAAGGAAATTTTCATTAATAAATTGAGCGCAGATAGTAATTAATTTATACATGAAAATTACCTTGAACCAACAAGAATCCACTAAACAAAAACGTACATTGAAATTGAAGATACCTAATAAAACTAGAATGTCTCCCAGATCAATCCTCGAGATCAGACTCAAGTGGCTCAACATCCACTTGCTCATATGGAATTGGCAAGGCCAATGTAACTCCAGCGGCAGCAAGGGCTTTGAGCCACCCATGTTTGAATCTCCGATTCTCGAATTTGGAGACTTCATTTACGTATTCCTTCAAGGCGGCGCTCTTCCCAGCCTCTAGCGCTGTAGAAGCTTCAGATTCGGCTTTTTCCATGGCCGCCTTCAATTCTTCTAACTCGGCCTCTGCCTTGGAAAGCGTCTCCTGGGCTAACTTGAGCGACTCCTCACTCGCGTTCGCCCTATCCTCGGCTTCAAATCTGAGCTGGTCAGTAGTCCGGGCCCTCTTATTTTCAGCTTCGGCTCAAGCACTTTCCATTGCAGCTCTCATCGCCTCGAACTTGGCCCTGCTTCTTTCACCTTCAGCTTCAAACTTTAGGCGGCCAATTCTTTCAATGGCATCACGCTGCCGGCGGCCTAGTTCGGCTATCCTTCCAACCGTTTGCAAAACAAGTTTGGATCACCACACCAAGCAATATCATATGCAAACCAAACCAAACGAGCAAAAAAGAAAGTATCGTATACATACCAGAAGGGCCGACTAGGCAGCGAACGCTATAGCTACCAAATCCGGCTCTTCTCGAAAGGTGGCCTTGCCACCCGGTAGCAAAACTGAGGCGACCAAGCTCAATGCCACGGCTGAATCCTTCATGGCAGATGCATCAGAGGAGATTGACGTGTCTTTGATCTTTGGTTGAACAACGAAAGGGACAACCACGTCGGATTCCTCTAAGCGAGGCCGTTTGTCAGTAGGGCTATCCTCTGAGTCGGCCTCTCTCTCGGCGGAACGTTTTTCGCCCCGCTCTTTTGAAACCAGTCGTTCTTCCGTAACCTGCTGTTCAGCCCCCTCATTCTCGGCCACAACAACTTGAGCCGTTTTTACTCTAGTAACCGGTTGTAAAGATTCAATCGGGGCAGGCTCAGAATGAGCGGCCTCGGCTTTCTTTCGGGCGGCCAGTCGCTCGGCATTTCTCTTTCTCGCCATCTGCGCGAGATTTTCCCCAGCCATGCCTTTAGAAAAAGCGTCGGGTAGATCTCCCAAGTTTGTAAAAATATCTCCGAAGGAAAACTCCACCTGACCTGAAGTGGACGGAGAGTTAGGCTGGTTAAGACCAACTGCCGTAAACGCTGATTTCAGAGCTTCGTCAACCTCTTCGGCCTCCGCAGCGAACACCTTTGTTGATTCGGTAACTACTTCGACCACCGGCTCTAAGTTTTTCTCTGAATCAAAAGCTTCGAGACCAATTTGCCTGAGGGTCTTGAAGCTGGGGAAGACAAGAGCCGTAAGGTGTTGTTCGCCGATTGGGATCGGAATGTCGTCCACGGCCGAGAATGTAGTGTAGGTAGGCTCGTACCGCAGGAGAATATGGGCAACTCTCCCTTGCTTATGTACGTTTGGACGGCCAAAGTACTTTAGTGTAGTCTTAATTTCCGCAAGGACTTCGTCGTCTGCCGAGGTCAGAATCCTTTTCAACTTATTGCCTGTAAAAACAAAGGGTTAGACATCGAGAAAAAGCCGAATAAAAGAAAGATCAACAAACAAGGAGTTATACGGTAACCTGGTTCACCCCTTCGTCTGGGAATAGGGTCTAGGCGATCTTCACCTTCGCCGAATTCCCAGTTGCCTCGGACATTGACCATTACATCATCAACTTGTTTGCTAGAGCTGGCAAGCATCGTTACCAAGTGATGGTCTGTGTCCTTAGCCCTGAGAAAATAGCGCCCGAGTCGACCGGAGGATTTGGTTAAAGCGTAGTAGTGCCGAATCGCCGGAATGCCAAGATTGATCCCGAGACGCCGGTTCAACTCTACGATTCCCATTACAATTCGAAAAAAATTCACATTGGGTTGCGAAGGAATCAAACCCCAATAGTGGAGGACGACCCTAAGAAATGGGTGTAGGAGAAAGCGAACTCCGCTCTCCGCAATGGATAGGAGAGGAAAGACAATTGTATTTTGGTCGTCCCTCTCTATATCAAGGGTATTGTCCGTTACTAGAGATAGATGGACATCATCGGGGATAGAAAAATGTCTTCGGAACCCAGAAATTCGACCCTCAGAAAGGAGGTCTTTCAAATGCTTAGCCATTCTGGTACGGACCCAAGGATATTCTAAAATCAAAGATAAATACGGAAAATAGGGTTGCAAAGAGAAGAGAAGAAAACTTACGAAAGGCAAAGGAGAAAACGGAGAGGAGTCACAGAAAACGCGTTGGAGGAGAGACATCGACTGGCAATCCAGGAGGTTCAAATATTCGAAAAAGTATGCATTCGAAGGGACTGAAGTTTCAAATCGTAATAAATGCGAGAGAAGCACGAATGAGGCGGGAAAGTGTTGCAGTGACCAAAAGGCATGTATGCGTTCTGACGCGCATCGGGAAGAGGGTTAACCGCCGAATTTTTGACTGCCCAGACTAGAAGCCAAACACGCCGACTAACTGATGCTAGTGGGATGTTTGGCGGGCAATTGTGGGAGCCAGATAATTGGAAGAGTCGGAAGCGTACTCTGGAAGACAGATACTACACGGCTCTATCCTGCACGATCAGAATGCCGAATAATACAGATAGGCCGAATAGATATTGAACTATGGAGCCGAGTAAATAAGAGGATGATGAGTGAAAAGTGGGCCTGGCCCCGAGGCCAAGGGAACAAGTATAAATAAAGGAGCAATAGAATAAGAAAGGCATGTGAGAATTGTTGTGCTTAACTTAGAATATAAGCATTCTTGAGTGTAGAGACAGACTTTTCCGTTGGTGTGCTAATTCCGGCACCTCCGACCGGAGTGTTTATTCATTTTCAGGTGACTATCAGCGGATCACGAGCTCTCCCTAGGATCAAAAGAGTATTTCCAAACCACTTCTCCACATACTACATCAAAACAAATAGAGTCTTAATAAATATATACTAGCGTATGCCCGTGCCTGAAGGCACGGTATAAATAATGTTAGGATCAAATTATAATTATAATTATAATTTATACAACTACACAATTGAGAAAACTCAGTTTGATCCAACTTTATAGACTTACGCATATATTCAAGAACGATCACCACAGAGTTCTATTTAAAAAATAGCAAAGGAAACTAAGTAGAATAGATTTAGTTTCCATTGCCTTTGTCGGACTGGGAAGAAACAGAGGGTGGGAAGGCAAGTAAAGCAATAATGTAATTGGCAATTCTAAAGCAATAAAATGTACCTGACAACAACATTTTATAAGCAATAATGAAGGCAACTGAAGCAACATTGTAAATAATGTTAGGATCAAAATGTAATTGAAGTTTGTGAAGGACAAAATTTAAATAAAATAAAACAACAAAAACATTCAAGCACATAACAGCTTGATTAATTGTTCGTAGCATGAGGAAATTAGGCTCTTGTTCATTCCACTCTCAAACGAATCCTAAAACAACCAAAATGAAAATGAAGAAACTGATAGCAAAATAGGTTTAATAGTTAGTAATCAAATAGAGAGAGAAGGGGAGAGGCAAAACAAACAGACACAACCCAAGAAATTCTAAACAAACCCTAAGAATTCCATGACTAAACCTTTGGATCATACAGGAAAGTAAAATTTTCCATAAACTACAGACTACTTGCAAGATGCATTATGGTCCAAAATGAATTAAAATAAATCAAAATGGGTGATCAAGGGCCTCAATCTCATAGCTTACAGTTTATGTCCATGATAGTAATGCCTTTACATACAGTAAACCAATGTGATGTGTTGTGTCATTTCCATTCTTTTCACAACCCTTACAATCCAACCAAAGGCTTATATATTTTTATAACCTCAAAATAGCAAGAAAGCTGCAAGTTTTATAACATTAAAAAAAAAAAAACAGTTTGTACAAACATGTAAAGAAACACAGCAAAAGAAATCTGAAGTGGACAGACACCCAAAAGAGTCACACAACACAGCACAATTTTTTTTTTCTTTTGAAAGAGTAAGGAGTGAATTCACAGGAAGAAACAAAATTCTATGAAACTCAAATGAAACACCAATTTATTAGAAACCCAAATAAACTCCAAATTCAGCACTTCAGCAACACCAATTTACCAGCACTTCAACTAAACCCTCAATTTTGCCAACAGCCCCACCCAAAAGCTTCAAAGTAAAACAATCCAATTCCAACCCCAAAATAGAACATTTCACAGTACCAACACTTCAAAAAAAAAAAATCATGGAAGAAGTCAGACTTCACATACAATTACTCAATTACTCTTCTTTTTTACTCAATAACTCAATTACTCTTCATACTCTTTTTTCTTTTTTTGGTAGAAAATGTGAGCATAGCTATTCCAGAAAGGAGAGCCAAAAAGAAATAGAGATATAGAGAAAGGGAAAGAAAGAGAAATCAAATTACCTGGTTAACATGGGTTAAATCCCTCAAACAATTCGATTCTTTCCCAACAGCAACAACACCACAATTTTCCCAACAGCAGCATGTGTTTTACAATTTTCCCAACAGTAGCAGAACCACAATTGCTTAATGCTAGGGAAACAAACACAACCATCAGAGCTAAAAAAAATAGAGAGAAAAGAGAAAAGGCAGAAACATATTGAAACCCCAAGCGGAAAACCAGTTGTAGAACAGGAAATAAACCCAGATTGAGAGAGAGAATGGCAGCCCAAATCTATACAATAATGTACCTCTCAAGATATAACTATAACATCAAACCTAAAATGGAAATAATAATAATAATAATAATAATAATAATAATAAAATCAATAAAAAGTACTTTAATTCAAATAAAAAACAACGAAAACCTTTTCCCAAACAAAACTAATTTAGCTAGGCTAAATTAGCCAAAAGGCCAATAGGCAAAATCAACTCTTCCCAAGCCAAGCTAAATTTCAAAGACACCTTTCACTTTCCTGAGATTATTTCCCACATCAGAGTAAACCTTAAACTGACACTACATTTCACCATACCATACTTTAATTAGAAACAAAATTGTTTCAGACTCCAACAAACTTGGTCCTCGCTTAAATGCCACCAACTAAACCACTGCAAACCAAAAAATTCAAGTCCAGTTCGCATAGATTTTGGTATCATTGCAACAATTTAAAAACCAGTAACGGCATTCTCTAGTCATCCAAGACAATTCAAATATTAGTATTTGACTCCCCTTCTTAGCAACAGAACATAAAACCCCCATATCAACATATCCAAGCATTGATTAAATAAAAAAAAGTACGCCCATGAAGCCAATACAACACCTGTATAGACCAACCAATTAAAAAGTTCAGCAGCATGCAGAACACAATTACCACAATTCAAACCAATAATTAATTGTGCCAAACCACATATATAATCTAAGGATTGGTTGCTAGTACCAAGATTGCAATAAAATCCATTTAATAAAAACAAATTTAAAGCAAAGTATTCCAAGTTTTCAACACAATACTAATTCAAGCAGAGAATTTGTCAAAATTCCCTAGACAGCAATAAAATCGGTGTCCTTTGTTGCATGCCACTATCAATATCTAGCTGCAAGCACACTACTATAATTTCTAATGGATTAAGAAAATAAAATAATAAGAAAATATGGTCCATTGCCAACATTTAGTGCCTTACTGAATAGAAGAAGAAATATTGGAAAGAGTTTCTGTGGGGAAGAGACACAGATCAACATTTAGTGCCTCGGTAGCCAAAAATAGTACACATAAAAATTCATACTACTATTCTTCAAGACTAAAGTCATGATTATTGCAACACCACTATTAGCTTACACAACGAATGAAAGTAATAGACTATCAACAATATAGGGCTTCAATGCTTACATATCGACAACAATGAGTTCCTTTAACAGCTTCCTCAAACAGCAGCAGCACCATAATCTATTATTGTTCAAATGTTTCTATCCAAAAACATTAGCGTTCTTATCACCTATAAGACCAAAAACTACATCGAAGTTTAGCAACTTAATCATTCTCAAACCAAAATAGTTTATCAAAAAATGCTTATTCTAAATCATCATCCTTCACGTAGTTGGCCAAATTTATTTTATTTTTATTTTTTTCTCTTTAATGATTATTTGGAGATTGTGCCTCATCCAGAACTCAAAGGTTAACTTCTCTCCAATTTTGCTCTTTATTTTTAATGACAAAAGTTGTTAAATATGTTGGAATTTGGATGGATGTATATGTTATAATCTATCTTCTTCCTCAATCTGTGTACAATAAACCTAGTTTAAACCTAGTTTAAACCCAGATAAACAATCAAACCTTGAAGCCTTAGGTTTGGTTGCATGTGAGAGAGAAAGAGAGAGACCAACCTCACCTGGGAAGGTGAGAGAACAATCGGAACATCGAACAATTCTTTCCCAACAAAACAAAATTAAAAAATACACATACAATAGAATTAAGCAAAATATCTTAAGTTATTGGCAAAAGCAACACCAAACATTCTAACACAAATTTTCTAAAAAAACAAAGAATGCTCTAAGGTTGAGAATTTAACTGGATAAAAAATTAAAAAAAAAAAAACAACATTACCACTTTTTGAATTAGAAACAGAATCATTATACTATATTTTGAATCAAAACAACCATGAGCAACCATGAAACAAACGTTTGCAATTTATAGTTTCTCTGTAAATAAAATGTATATAAACCAAAAACCCAAATAATTTCAAAAGAAAGAAAGATTAAGGAGAGAAGAGAAGGAGAGGGGTGGAGGGAAAAAAAAGAGCACAAAATACCAAAAGATCCAACAAAAGACCCAATAAGTAATAGACCCCAAAAAAATAAATTTTCTAAAATTTTGAGTAATGAAACAGATATAATAAAAAACAAAAAATCGCTTAGAGTTTATACCTTTGATTATATTGAAAACCCATAAATTGATGACCTACAACAAAAAGACACAACACAACATGAAAATGGCGGAAAGAAACAAACTGAAATTTAGGAAAACTAATTATTAAAGAGAGAAAGGCACTCCCATATATACTTTAAATGGAAAATATTGACAAAGAAATCAAAATTGTTTCCTAAAAAATGGCCAAAGTAAAAGGCTTCCAGAGCCATCCAATAGATAATTTACTTGTGACTAAAACCATTCCCAAATATATTCTAATCCAAACTTAAACCAATGCCTTATAGATAGAGTGTAACTTTATGGTAACTGTTACATAAAAGAACAATTCAATCCAATAAAACATAGCCCAAGAAATATAACTCTGACAAAACAAAATTCTCAGACCAACCTCAATGTAAAATGCAACTACTCCCAAGTCTTCTTATTAGTCCCAGCAATAATATGTCCCAGAAAAACCACCACTCTTCAGGCTATCAAATATCAATACAATTTACCCATTAAAATCAGCATATGTATTGATTAAAAATCAGCATCCAATTGTGCATGTAGTGACAAAAACCCAATAGACTTCATGTGTGAAATAATGAGAAAAACAGAGGGCTAACCAAACCAAAAGGAGAACGCTGGTTTAAAAAAAAAAGTGACAAAAACCCAATAGGCTTTATATGTGAAAGAATGAGAGAAGAAGCGAGTGTTAACCAAAAGCAATAGAGCATGCTGTTTTTTTTTTTTAAAAAAAAAATAAGAAAAAAAAAAGAAGAAGAAGAAAAAGAAGCAGCCTATGACAGTTTGTAATAAGGTGCTCATGGCTAAAACAATCAAATCCAAAATTCAAAACTTATTTTGCTTAAGAAATTCAAATCAGAACATGCAAAATGAAACTGAGTAATGACAATTTCCATCTAAGCAAGCAGAAACTAATTCTTCCAATCCAAAATAGATGTATCCACCATGTTCCCATTTTCATCTCCACTTCTCCCTTCATGCTTCTTGTTTTTTTGTAAATCCAAACTCCAAATAATGTGTCCAAGGATTTGGCAACCAAAACTAAGTTAACAATGACAATATAATGGATTACCTGATATTGGAAGCACTACAAAATTTTATAGAAAAAATGAAGTTTTTCAATTTAAGTCAACAATAAGAAATTTTAAAAACTATGTCACACTCGATTAAAACTATTTCATAAGAGTCTTCAATTTTGTAGAGTATAAGCAAAGATATATTCACAGTAAGTTATAAACACCAAACAAAGCACACCTGTATTGGCCTACTGCTACCAATCACAAATGAGATTCAGCAATCCTGAAGAAAAAGAAAAAAAAAATAGAGAGAGAGAGAGAGAGAATAAGAAATGGACCATAGCAACTACAAAAATACATTTTCAGTTTATAAGAAAAATTTATAGATAAAATTTATAAAATCATTTAGTAGAAAAGAACCATGCTCATCTTTAGAAACTTTACACTAAAATAGGTTATGCATGCTCCAAAATATAATGATTGAAGAACCAAAAAGTAATGATTGAAGAACCATACCATTTGTGATACATTTTGTGTTCCCATTCCTGCGTGGCTTTCATTTTCTTTTTTGTTAAGACACCTTAGCCTTTTCTTTTTCCTTTTGAAAAAGAAATAAAATTTATTAATAGAATAAAAAGAAATAAAGGTCCCGCTCATCGTGGATTGCAACGCTAACATTTCAATCTCGAAAAAATTGAACCTATATATAGTAAGAATTTACACAGATGTAGAGATAGCTATAGAAATTGATATATAATTAAAACTCAAAGCACTAAAAAGCAAATAATTCAACAACAGCAACAGCAACAGCAACAGCAACAGCAACTCAAAGCCTAATGAACCACCAACAGCAGCACAGCAACCACAGCAGCAACAGAAACTCAAAACCACCACACCAGCAGCAACATAATCAAACAGAACAGAGCAAAAAAACCCCCCAAAACCAAAGCAAAAATCCCAGCAAAACAGAACACAACATCAGCAAAAATTAGCAGAACTGAGAATGAAGACCCAAGACAACTCCTGAGTTATTAAAAATTGAAAACAACTCCATTAACTGAGAATGAAGCTTCACTGATATGAAGATTTTAGCCAAATTGCCACTCACACCTTGAAACACATCACAAATCAGTAATGGATGTATTATATATACATCTTCAATCCTTTATGAAGATGTATATGAAGATGTATGAAGATGTATTATATATGAAGATATATGAAGATGTATTGTATATGAAGATATATGAAGATGTATGAAGATGATAAAAAAAAAACATGCTCAAAATTCATCTCCAATCCATTCATCCAATCCATTCATCAAAGATGATATATATATATTTTTATCAAATTAGGAATTCATCAAATCCTTCATCAAATTAGAAGTTAATGAAAATTTAAAAAATGAAGCATTGGAGGTGATTTTTTTCCCATCAAATTTGATGAAAAAAGAAATTTGGGATAAGCGTGGAACTTCTAAAAATATTTTAATAAAAATTTGATAAAAGGATTGGAATATTTCATATCAAATGAAGCTTTTAACTCAAATTTAGAATCAAATTAGATGGGGAAAAAAAATAATGAAGGGTTCTCTCTGTAGAAGCAGCAAGCAAGCAATTAAATTTCAATTGTAGATTCAAGAAATGCTAAACAAAATTTTAAAAGAAGAGTAAGATATATCAAACTTTTTTTTTCTAAACCCCTGCATTTGTTTGTTAGCAACCGGAGGAAAAGGGTAAGATCTCTTTCAGGATAGACAGCTAAATATATGAGGAACAAATTACAGAGAGACACAAAAGCTAATCAATTGCTAAAATAAAAATGGATGCATATATATATATATATGGAATGGACAATTGCTATCCATTATATATACATCCATTGCTATAAAAATATATATAATAGATAGTAATCAACGATCAATATATAATGGATGTATTATATATATAGCTAAATATATATACATCCATTCTATATATAATACATCCATTCTATATACATATAGATATATATCCATTCTATAATACATCCATTCTAAAATATATATCCATTCTAAAATATATATAATACATCCATTCTATCTATATACATCCATTCTATCTATATATATAGATATATATCCATTCTAAACCCTTGATTGCAATATTTTAAAATCAATGTATAATATGACTACTAAAGATACAATTTTTTAAAATCAAATAAGCATAATTAATCCATAACCAAGAGGCCAAATATGTATTCCCGAGGCAACCAAATGAGCAAATTGCCTGAACAATACAGCAGTAATATAGCAGTAATATAATATAATACCTGTACTAATATAACACACAACCCAATTTCCATTCGACTCAAAATCCAATACAGCAGTAATATAATATAATCCCCAAGAGATGAAATCAGAGTCTTAAACCCAATACCACATAGAAGTACAAAACACAAAATTCAAATTTGAAAAGCAAAAACCCAAAAAGAAAATACCTGTACTGAACCCCTATCTTGATACCGAGCGGCATGTCAACACTGCCAACAGCCTCAGCAATGGCGAAATACTTGGAAGGGTCATCAGCAACGTACCTAAAAGGCCTAATCCTAGCTTCTCTGACCAGTCCCAGAAGCTGCCTCATACACAGCTCTCGATGATCGTCCTTGGAGATCTCAACTGGAGTCTGAAGATCGGGCCTAGAATTGAAGTACTCAAAAACCCTCTCTTGTATGTCCCTGTGCTTTCCTCTGATGTAGTCTGACAGCTGTTGGGTGCTCACGCTCAGCTTCGTCCTGCTCGCGCACGATTATAGCTCGAGGGCGTCGGTCACTTGACGGTCAGGATGAATCAGCGGTGGGTTTAGGTGCAAGGACAACCGTTGGATTCGCCGGGAAATGGGTTGATCGTCATCTTCAGCCATCTGATTGGGATTGGGAGAATGAATTATGGGGCTCAAAGAGATCATTTGCAGGGAGCGGGTGCGAGTGCGAGGAGGGTAGGTGTCGATGAGCCAAGTTCGATCTTCCCCTTCAATGGCGGCGATGAGCGAACGTGTAGAGAGAGAACGTGCAGAGAGGGCCAGATGTGTAGAGAGAGAATACGTAAAGAGAGGCGTCTGTTTGGGCAGACGTGGGAGTGAGAGAGAGATGAACATTTGGGCGGGAATCAAACACATCTCAACCATTGATATTTATTAGAATGGATCTAAACCCTTGATTTAAAATGTATCTCACATACATTTTAAGATATTTTCAAAAAATCTCTTGCCTTATTATATAGATATATATATATTTATCTTTAGTAATTTTTTAAAAACTTTTTTTTTTCAAATATAAATTTAAAAAAAAAATTAAAAATAAAATAATTTTTAAAAATATAACCTTTTAAATATCGTTGATAGGAAATTTCACCCCAATTAAGAAGTTGCACCAAATTTTCTTAAGCCAGGCAAATGTTTCAGCAGTAATACGTCGTCGTCGAGGTCATTCTCTCTTGGAAGTTGGATTTTATAGCCTGTTGTTTTGTCGTGAAGCTTCATTAAGGTAACAAGAAAATTGTTATGAATGTCAAATAATTTATTAAATATTTTATTAAATTTGTTATATAAAGTATCCTTAAAGGAGATAGTTGAAAAAGATTTGTTAGGTATTTTAATTAATGTAACTCTAATTTTGAGTTTTAATAGGTTGATTATTGGGCTAGTTATTTTATCAGTCTACTTTTTTGGTGGTTACAATTGAAGAGTCCTAGAGGCTCTTCAAACAAATATATATGTATATATATTAAATTTTTGTATATTTATGTCTTGAATTTGGGATTTTATATATTTTATATATGCATATGTGTATGTAACAATTTTATATGTTCTTTCAATTCTATTTGATGAATTACGGAATAACTTATTTTATATTTTGTATTTTTTTTCCTCATTCTACAGGTTTTGTATATTTGTATGGACAAATTTATTATTATTGTAAATTTATATTAATAAAATATCAGCAATTAATATTTTTTGTTTTAAAAATTAATTAAGTTAGTTTGAATGATTAACTAAAATAAAGAGTGTGGTTGAACACAATAGCTAAAAAGCATGTACTTTTTTCATGCTTTAGCTAGTAAAAAGTAAGTGTGAAATTTACATATGTGTATCATATAAAAAATTTAGATCTTGTTTGACATATACTAAAGGATTGTTTGGGTATTCTAAATAAGTGTATTTTTTAACTTTTTGTGAAATATAAGTTAGGTTTAAAGTGATGTGGTAGAGAGGTGATTTGACTTAAATAATGACTTTTTAACTTTTTAATTTTTTTTAAGGAATGCCAAACCTAATCTAAATAAATTCATTTTTTAATCTTTTTATAGGTTGCGCCAATTAATATTTCGTTTTTATTTTTCTACTATAATTTTTTTTTCCTTACTATCTTTCTATAAAAAAAAAATTAAAAAAATATGTAAAAAAATAGAACTACATGTAATAAAAAAATTTGATAGATCGTTTGATTTAACTTGTGCAACAAAGGTTGGATTGGCTTCTCTTCTCTCTCTCTCTCTCCACTGGGCAAGTGGCAACGTCGACGGAGCTGACCTACTACAGCAATTAGGGTTTTTTCGCTTCATTTCATCTTCTGATGCACAACACAGAATTAGGGTTTGATCTCTGTGATGCAGCATGAACAAAGGGTTTCCAATCTCCGGATTGTAGCCAATCCGGTGGTGTGGCCACAATGTCAGCCGCTTCGCTCTCTCTTCGCTCCTCCCTTCTCTCTCCTCCCATTTCCAGGTCCAAACTCTCCACAACCTCACTCCCACTCAATCGGCCTCCACGCCTCCTCAATTTTCTTCCCAAGTCTTCCAAAACCGTAAGTGTGTTTGTTTATATGTTGTTTCAATGTTATTTTGATTTTCATTTTGTAATCCCTCTATGAATTGACCACAAATAACAGAAAACATATGACCCCTCAATTTGTTTTTCATTTGTTTTCTCGTTAACCAAACGATGCAAATATTGATTTCTATGTCTATCACTCACACTACGTTTCATTGCTTGGAAAATAGTTTAAAAAATGATTGTAATTGATCTTTCATTCTTATGTAAGGACCCGATTGAGCTAAATCCCTAGTGGGCGTAGCTGAGGTGTGTTATTGGAAAACCAAATCAGCTTAAGCATAATGATCGAGCTTTAACTCTTTTTTTTTTTCTTGATATTTTGGAAGTGAAGGGAATATTGAATATTGCCTTGATGTTTTTATATTGTCTTGTAGAAATGGAAATTTTCATGCTTTAGGCACGAGGAAACTTCTTCAGAGTTTCTCGAGGCCAAGAATGAAGAGGATAAATTGCCGGAACTACTGGTGAATCCTGAGTTCGATCAATCACGAGCTGAAAATGAGGATTGGGTTTCAACTCTTAGGAAGGTATCATAGTTTGTTTCACTTACTTCGTTTGGACAGTGAACATGCTTGGGAATTATTTATTGTTCTGACTCTTAGCACCAAACCATCTCATTTGATACTTCATTTATTGAATATGAACTGCATTCAAAATTCATGACCATTTGAAAGAAAAGTTCTGGTTTTCATGAGCAGGGATTTTACTTTTTGAACTGTGGAGACCGTTTATGTTGTCATGTTGTCGAGCTGTTTAGTATTTGGTTGTCAGTTATGCAAAAAGGAAAAAAGGATTCAACTTTAGCTCCATTTAACTTGTCATATTCTCTAAAAATCTGTGGTTTCTTGCATTTTTTCTCCAACTACTCCCTACAAGGAAAACAAATGAGAACCAATACTACACATGGGAAAGATAAAGTAATTCAAAAAGTTGATTATTACATGTTTGCTCATAAGTTGGAAACTAATTAACTCCTTATCTAAGAAAAAAGGTGGAACTATTAACTGCGTATTTTCACTCAGAAGTTAGGTTATAGATGTGCTGCTCTCCAAAGATAGTAATTATCCTGTTACATAGTTGTACCTTGTACACATTGATTATGACAGGAAAAAAATAGAAAAGAAAAATAATAATTTGCAATAAAAATGACATAGCGGAATACGTTGGGACTAGATATTGTTCTATTAGACGAAAGGGACTCTTGAATCTACGAGAAAATAAAACCTTGAATCCATAAGGAAGATAAAATATTTAAATATTTAAAAAAAATGTTATCCTCCTGCCCTAAGGCTACATAGCTATTTTTAATAATACTTGGAGACCAAATAACCTTGGACAACAAGAAATCTAAAATTAAGAAACAGCTAACTAGCCTAATTCTTGACAAATAAGAAACCTAAAAATAGGAAAAGAAAATAAATCAAAATTGAGAAACTTAATTATTCTAGAATATTTATACTAAATTAAAAAATCCTATTCAAATAATATATCAAAAATATTAATACTAAAAAATATAAAAATATCTAATATCTTGTCTTACATCGGACTTTTCTTTGAAAGAACTGTCTTTGAGTTCCAACTAGATGTTTGCTATCTTCCATGCTGTAAGAAGGGTTAATTCGAGCCCATTAAATTGATTGGGTCCAATCGGAAAGCTAAAAAATTAATGGGTTCGTAGAAATTATCACGAAGTTGCCTCAAATGAATTCTATTGAATGGACTTGCTAGAAAAGCCAACCAATTGGGCCGGAGAGGCTCAACAGGATTATATCTTTAAGAAAAGTCCAACAAGTCCATCCGAGGAGGCCCAGATCATACGGGCATCCGAGAAGGTTAACTGTTGCATTCGGAAAAGATGAAACCCTCCGAGGAGATCCATTCTCCGAGGTATTTGCCTAGTCTCGAAAAGGTTCGGAACCATGAACCTAGAGACCTATTTGAGTTAGAACTCGAAAGGGTTCAGATCCACGAACCTAGAGATCCGAAGCACATGGCTTCGAACGGATTCGAATACAATCTAGAAGTAGGCTCTGTTAGTGAGTCCCATAGCACTTGCAGGTTCGGAGTTTTTCGGGATCTACGCACCAAAACCATGGGCGTGACAGAGTCCGAACAAAGGACCTGATTCCGAGGACGATGAGTGGAGATAAATTCACTCTTTGGTTAAATTAGCCAATACTCTGGTTAAGGTGGCTCGATCTAGGAGGTCCTTGAGACTTAGCAATATTTGTAGCAAAGCGTTCTCTTAAACTACCCCTAACCCTTCTTGGGCAGGGCGTCCTCTGGGACTATCCCTAACCTTTTGGAATGATTGGGGATCATTGGTTAGGCATGGCTAAGAAGAAGGGTTTGCCGAGAGGTTGATTTCCTCTTGGGAATTTTTCTCGTCCTCGGAGATGTCACCTCCTCGGATAAAGTGCTTATAGAGAATATTCTTCATGTGCCTTGCACATGGACTCCATCCTACATCATGAGGTGTCTATAAATAGTGGGAGATCCATAGGAGAACCTTGCCATTATTCTCTCTCTAACTACTTTGCCTTCTTCTTCACCCAATCTCTTATCTCCATCATCTCTTTGCTATCGTGTTTCTAGTTGCAACCACTGAACAATCGAAGCCTCTTATCATTTTTAGAGGATTTGAATTTTCCGGTAGACATTCGAAGATTTCAAGGACTTTCGAATTTTTTGGCAACATTGTCAGACCGTCTTATACGCTTTCCAAATAAAGAAATATTTTGAATACCTCATTTTCTTCAATTCTAATCCCAAAGAAATCTCCATGAATTGAATGTGCAAAATTTTCTTCAAGCTAATCCTCAATTGATTGACAAGATCAATTGAATACATTTTGAAAATTAGATCAAAACTTTCCACACCAATCAAATCAATTCTTCCTTCCTTAACATCGATTGGTGAATGAACTGAACTGTGTGATTTTATTGGTGCTTGAATCTTTAAAATCTTTTCCTTTGATGAATCTTTATTTTTTATGGCAAAATTCTCAACTTGAGCAGTTTCATCCATTGAAGAAATTTCAAATTTCAACACAAAAGTGTCAACCTTTTAAACAATTTTGGACTTATCTTGAATTTCTTTAAGGTATACTTTTGAATTTCTTCTTCAATATTGTCATCTTCTCCTTGTAGAACTTTCTCTTGATTATTTAAATTTTCTTCATTACTTTTATAAGTAACCTCATCACAAACAATATTAGGATGTGAAATATTTTCTTTTGCAACTACAATTTCATTACAAACTTCTATCAACTCCATTGAAGTATCTTGATTTATATATGATAATATATCTTCATGATCAAGAAAGTAATTTTTTTTTTGCTAATATGTTTTTCATTACTAACCATGAACGAATCCTATCTTTACTTTCACGACTCGATAATCTTTTAATCCATTCCATCACTTCAATGCAAATTTGTCAATTTTGTAGGAAGCAAGAAATTTTCAAGATCAAGCAACCTATCAAGAAAATCTTCTTTTGAAGCTTACATGAACCATTAAAATATGCAATTTTTGCAAAAATGCATAAGCTAACAGGTTGACCTCGAACAAATCCTTCGACACAAACGCTGTCAGTTGTTGGTTGTCTTTGATTGGCGATCAGTCCCAATTCGGAAAGTACATTACAAATCTCATTGCGAAGTTTATGCACTTCTAGCTGATGTTCCTCAATTGCATCTCATATAGCTTTCAGCCTACGATCATCATCAATAGGGTTTGTGCTTCCTACTCTGATGAATGTCACTGAGCCAGGCGAATCCTTGTTGTGATACCACTTGACATAGCAGAAAATACGGGGACTAGATATAGTTCTAGTAGATGAAATGGTCTCTCGAATTCACGAGAACATAGAACCTTGAATCCACAAGGAATTGAAAATATTTGAATATTATTAAAAAAAAGTTATCCTCTTGCCCTAAGGCTACATAGCTATTTATAATAAATTAATACTTGGAGACCAAACTAACTTGGACACCAAGAAATTCAAATTTAGGAAACACAACTAACTAGCCTAATTCTTGACAAATAAGAAACCTAAAATTAGGAGGGAATTTTGAAAAATAAGAACCCGCTACATCCTCCCATTTCATCCCCCCCCCAATTCTAGGGGGGGGATCCAAATTTAGAAACTTAATAATTATAGAATATTTATACAAGATGAAAATAATCCTAATCAAATAATATATCAAAAATATTAATACTAAAATATAAAACTATCTAATATCTTGTCCCACATCGAAAAAGATGTAATCAAGGAAGGCTAATTACCAGATTGCATTTCTATTAAAGGCTCGGAAGTGCTTAACTTAAGTAAGGATGGAGTATAAGATTCTAATGACTAGGAAAATGCTTGACATGTGGAAAAACGTATTTAGTATCTATATATAAAAGTAAAGGAGATGTGCAAAATTGCTACAATTATTGGGGCGGCATTAAGTTTGATAAGTTATACAATGAAACTGTGGGAGAGACTGATTGAGCGTTGTGTAAGAATCACAACAGTGTGTAGGAGAGACTAATTGAGCGTTGTGTAAGAATTATAAGAATAGTGTTAGGGAACCAATTTGGCCTTATGCTCAATAGATCGACTAGGGAAGTGTTATATTTACTAAATTGATTTAGAAAATTATAGGGAGAAGAGGAGAGATCTTTATATGGATTTTATAAATTTAGAAAAAGTTTGCGGTGGGGTGTCTAGAGATATAAGATGATGGTTGTTAGACAAAAAATTGTGACCAAGGGCCATTTTGATGTGATAAGGACACGTATGATGGACAAGTGGACGGTGGGATTAGTCCCGTGGATTAGTCGGTCTAATGGATTGGATATCGAGTTATCAAAAAGGACATGTATGATCGGGTCATGATTACAATTAAATTACTTGCGAGAGATATTAGACAACAGAATGCGCTATGTGTTAAAGGCGCTTATTTACTAACCTATTTTAATGAGCTTGCTTGGCTTTCCTATCTAGAGTGAGGAGGAAAACGCTCCTTTCTATGATAAGGGCTAGGACGAATGGGGAACGGGAACTACTCTTTTCATTTCGGGATTTGAGTGGGTAAGGGTAATGGGACCAACAACATGAACAATCAGACCAAGCAAGCTATTAAACGAACAAACAAAGTCACAAGCTACATGCAAGATCCTTTGTGAATTTTCAATTATTATAAGATTGCACCAAGGGTTTGCCTTGATTCCTTATTAATTTGTCTTAGTTATGGTGTATGCTGCTCACATATAATATTGTTCTAATGGATGAAACTGAGGGATGAATTAACATTAAATTACACTTGAATCTTTAAAATAAGTAGAATTGAAACTAAATATATAGAATGTAACTTCAGTAACAATATAAGGAGAAATAGTGGAGAAGTAGAGATTGAAAACTAAGAGATAGCAAAGAGCAAACAATTTCGTTACTTAGGTTTGATTATTAATTAGGGTGAGAGGTTAGAGATGATGTGATTCATAGAATCAAACGAAGTTGGCTCAAGTGAAGAGTGCTTTTGGCATATAATGTGATTAATGCATATTAATAAAATTGAAAAGAAATTTTTTTATAAAACAACTTTAAGGCTGGCTATACTTTATGGGACTAAATGTTGGTCAACTATAAAATGACATGATCTCCATAAATGGAAATGCTAGGTGGAGGGGACAAACAATATGGGATGTGGTAGTAAAAAAATGGCATGAAGTTATTTAATTAATTGAGCACATAAACCTTGATAGAGTGGAATGATGAAAAAAGATTCATGTAGCTGATCCTACTTGATTGGGGTACAAGGATTGGTATGGTTTGGTTTGATAAAAGAAAAGGGATCACAATTGAGCAGTTCACGACTTTGGTTCGACCTAAGAAAATAGTGGGAAGGTTCGATTATGAAATTATTTTAAACTGTGTGTTGTTTTGTTACATCAGGTTTTGGCATGTTATACAAATCTGATCTAAAATTATCTAATCATGGTTCTTGGTTATTGAGTAATTATATAGACTTATGTAATGTCTTGACTGTGGCTGGTGGGGGTGTGGTTGGGTGTTTGGTCACTCTAATTTCCAAATCTTTGGATATTGGGGCGTGGGAGAGTTATTGATGCATTTAATCTTGTCTTTTACACTTTCGGGCTACATGATTTGTTTACTTGACATGGTCTGTCCAACATAGGTTTTGAATCATGGATTCAATTTAGGTATATTGGGTATAGAGTAAATTAGAAACTATATGTGGGTGGAGAATGAACTGCAATTTCCTATGTTGACCCTCATGTGTAGCCAAAAAATTCACAAGGTGGTGCCAGGATTGGTTTGGCTTAACATCCTGCACTTTCCCTTTGTTGGATGTGAATGTGCATTAATTATTTATTCTTTGGTTTATATTCTGTGCTCGTAGTTGAGTCCATTCATGTTTCATTGTCATTGCCTTTTTAGCGTACATGTCATATGTATAAAAATGCCCCATCATAAATAATGGTATGAATTACCATATTACAATTCATAATAATGACCATAAAGTGGAAAATAAGAGATATGCGGAGTCTACACATTTTTCTTACAGAAGAATCAAGTTTCTCAAAAGAGTTCATATCATGTTTAACTGCGATCGTTTGTGAACAATTATATGAATAACAGGGGAAATATGGTTCCTGGAGACATTTTTTGTGGAAGAAATAGTTTCTAAGAAGAGCTTAGTAATTAGAGACATAATCATTGTCAATTAATCCTTCATGATTAGTGGCTAATCGGCTATTTATGCTACAGGCTGCAGATGCAGTTTTTAGTGCAGAACCTTGGACAGTGCCATGGACAGCAAAGACCATTCTGCAGGTAAATTATTTTTTCATTTATTGTATAATTGTTATTAAACTTTGTCAGTTTGATAACCACATTTTAATAATGTGTCTTACATCCATTATAATCAAGTTAGTAATTGTAACATAAGAAGTGGCCATGCTTAGAAGTGTTGGTGGGGCCTAGAACTGATAGCCAATCGTATAGTTGCTATTAAACATTGGCATGTGTAGTTCCAACATGGACACACCACCCTAAAAGTGTCCGGGCTTTTTAGATTGTTACCGGAAAATCATTTGTAACAAGCTAATCTACAAGTGGTGAGTGGATTTCAGACTTTTCTGTCATGTGCTCTCTGCTCATTGACAAAAATATCCAACTAAAGCAGAGATGTGACAATTCTAAGTTTTCATTAACAATGCATGCTGTTGTAGCTCATTCTAGAGTATATTCTCATCCAAACTGCATAGAAAGTAAAAAATCCTAACGGTCAAGTGTGTTGGATATGTTTTAAATAATGTCAAATTGAACTATTTACATTACTATTGATCAAATTTTGGAATCTAACATTGCACTACTGTGTTTGATTTGGCAAGTTGGAGTAGTTGGCGCTTTAGTACATGATTGTATATTTGTATAATATTGTTAACATTATTAACTATGTTTTTTTTTTAAAGATACTAGGGTATGGGGCATGTGTATAGTGCAGTGTTGGTTTTGTGATCAAAGAGGTGATTGCCATGGTTAGAGGTGATAGACTGTGGAGGTGTGGTTTGGCAATGCAGAGGTAGTAATGAAGATTGCAATTGGAGCTAAACCAGAGTCTGTTTCCTTGCCATATGGTTTCTTGGAGAGGGAGGATTTGATAACATGATGGTTGGTGGTAACGACAAACTGCCTGGCATTGGCATTGGCATTGGCAGTGGCAGCAGCAATGATGGAAAACATGGTGGTGGCAATATCTTGAAATGTGGGTGGTGGGAGGGAAGCAACAGTAAAATGTGATTATATAATATGATGGTGTTGACCCAAAAAAGGAAAAAAGACAAGGGGGTGAGGTGGTGGAGTTAATACTGGTGTGGTGATGATGACATAATTGATTTAGCAGTGGGATGGCTGGGTGATTAAGTTGTTTTTAAAGTCTTAGTACACTAGAAGAAAGTTAATAAATTGGAGATTGTAATGCTTGTGGTGGCACAATGATATGATGTGTTTGACTTACTTTGTTATTGTGGGGAGGGTGGTCCTGGTGTTATAGGTGATAATCGCTGAGGCAATTTCAATGAAATGTTGCAATGCAAGGGTAGTATGTTGATAGTTGTGGTTGCTGTGTCATGGTAGTAGCAATGAGGCGGTGAGTTTTGCTGGCGGTGGTGATGTTGATTAGGTTCTATTGATATCTTCTTGAAATTTTTATGTATGTAGGTATTGACGTATTCTTATTCAATTAGAACTTATCAAGGTCATTTATATAGCCATGAATTATTTAGTTGGCAGCGACTATGGCAGAGGTGATCTCAACCATGTGTTGGTGATTGTTTTGGTTACTTTTCTATAAGATTTTGAAGCTTTTAGTTGATGTTAACTTTATACACGCCAATAGTGAGTTGGTGGCTTGCAAGACATAGCCCCTAATGCCCATTATTGATGCCCATGATGAGGAAGACATGATTTATACCATGTGTATTGTTTTTGTTACTTTAATATAAGATTTTGAAGCTTTTAGTTGATGTTAACTTTATACACGCCAATAGTGAGTTGGCGGCTTGCAAGGCATAGCCCCTAATGCCCATTATTGATGCCCATTATGTGTACATAATGATGTGAAGCAAAGTCCCACATCACCCCCAAGTACTAAAATAATAGTAAGCATATAAGTGTGAGGGCACCCTCACCTCTTGAGCTTTTGGGGTTGAGTTCTACCCAAGACCGTGTAACAAATGACACGTTAAAGAGTAAACTAAGAAGTAAATATCTGAGAATATAAACTGTTTTTTCAACTTCAATGGGAGGAGCATAATTTTTCCATGTAGATAGACAAATTTTGATTCCCATTTCTGATGGAGCTCGCATGATAGCAATTCAAAATATGAAGTTGGGCTGCTCTGTAAATCTTAGAATCCATCAATTTTTACTCTTACCTCTTTCTTTCCATGAGTTTGGGTTATATATAAAGAGGATTGCCACCAACACCAAAACACATAGTTGTGCTTGTGTTTTGTTTCTGTTGGTTAGCTTGCCATTTGGCTGGGGGTATGGTCCAGCAAGTTTGTTGATGCTTGTTCTTGTTGAATGAAAAATAACTCGCAAAAAAAAAAAATCTCTTACTTGCATTCATTAATTCAGAATGTTGTTTCTCTTTACTATGTTGCAATGTTGCGACTGTGTAGAGTAAGAGCCTAATAAATACACATTCATCCCAGTATGAACTGAGAGAAAAGATCATCAAATTCAATTTTTGTAGACTTGACCATTAAATATGAAGATCCCTTGCCACATGGACTCGCGTATGGGTGTCGGGTCTAGATGTGTATCTAAGAGGTCATACACATCAATCTTAAATTCAAGATTACACGGATTCGGCAACAAAATGTCATATTTTTATATTTTTAATTTATTGTGGACATAAAATGATGTTATATGTAACATATAGAGTCAAAAAGCATTTTACTAATTTTATAGCAATCATACAACAACATATACATATTATGATAGTATTATACAAATATATAAGTGTCTAATGGAATGTATCAAGACACATCCCACACTCTCATCCAAGTGTCTGGTGTCCAATATGGGTATTTGTTTTAGTTTGAAGAGTCCATGTAACATAGTGAAGATGCTATATGAATATTGCATATTTCGTATATATGGATGTTTAAAGAAGACAAAAATCCCAATAGGTACAAACTTTTGACATCATATAGATTATTGAGCTCTTTAATTTATAATTCTAAACATAGGAAACCACATGGAAGGGTTTATTTTTATTTTTATTTTTATTATTTATCTTTTTATTTTTATTTTTTAAGTAAAGGAAACCACATAGCAGGATTACAGGCACTTAATTTGTCTTCATTAGTAGAAGTTTCAGTGTGATTTCCATTTCTGTGAACGATTGCCTATTGAACTTGCTTGGCTTTGCCTGTAACTTTTATACGTGGCATAAAAAATGGATCTGATCAGTTGCAAATGAAGGCATGTAAATTTGGTCAACAATTGATTTAGGGAACATAAAAAATGCACAAATAAATAAAAAGAGGAGGGAAAAAAATGATTCATCTGCTTTTCATTGCCTCAATTTCCTCGCCAGCTAAAATAGTAATATATATATATATATTTGAATCTCAAAAAGACTAATGTTAAAGAGCATTCAGCAAATGACCGCAAAGTTGTAACTTATGAAACTTTGAAGGCCCAAGAAGCATGCTTCTTTTTCGAAGCATCAATCAGGTCTTTGGCATAAATAGAAGGAATCATAGGCATCACTGAGAACATAGTAGTAATTCATACTTAAGCAATTACGTAATTATCCAAAAATTTTATACTTTCTTAAAATTGTTGCATGTCAAATGTGAAGTTAGTTCCATAGACAAACATAATTATTCAAAAACATAAAACGAAAGTAAGAGTGATATATACAATATTCCAATCAAAGTTGATCTAATAAATTAATAATCAATATACCAAATGTCTTTTTTTTGGAAGGGGATAAACATATTCACTATCAAATTGGAACCAAACAAGGTGAATAGTTCTTCTTGAGCATCAAAGACCACCTGCTAACAAACACATAAAAAGAGAAAAGGGTATATCAAAAGCACAAATCTTGAGTATATATACCCATCACTTTCTATGAAATCCTACCAAAGGATCTAAAACCCTACAAAAACCCAGGGGCTAAAAGAAAAAATAGAAGCCAAAACGGCAAACTCACAAGGCAAATCTCAAGACGAGATGGGTGGGAGAGAGACGGAGTTGCGGTGGGGAATATATGCAGTTGTAAATATGTAGTTGTAAGGGGTTTTGGAGTTTCATACATGATTAGTTCCAGTTCCTTGAAGATGATAATTGATTTTCTTAGAAGTTTTCCAATATTTGTTGCTGCGTCAAATGGGTCTACGTCTTGGATTGGAGAAGCTGCAGATGGCATGAAAGAAGTTTGTTGAGCCTAAAAAATGGCTCAAAAAGCCTCTATTGTTGGATTGATGTTGGAGATGCTCTCAGATGGGGTTTTCGAGTTAGGATTTGATGGAGGGAAAATTGGGGATTTGAAGAGTATTTAATGCAGTTCAGAGACAATGTTTGTTGAAAGCTTTTATGTAAAGAGTGATGATGTAGTGATACAGAAAAAAAAAGAAATGGTGGCACACGTGTTCAATGTACAAAAAAACCATCACATGGACAATAGACAAAAATGACCCAAGGGAACATAAACTGAAGATGTGATTAAAGTGAAAAATAGATGTTTCATTAAGGACGGAAATTACCGTTCATTAACGATCCAAGCTTGCTAGAAGGGTCTCATATGACATTGTATCTGTATCAGATATTTATACTCCTCGGATACTCACGAATATGTATTTGATAATTTCTAAAGGCAATCCCGCTACATCCTCCCATTTCATCCCCCCCCCAATTCTACCTTTAATGAGGTGGATGAAAAATCAGAATTTGTATCTGCGTTGCAATAATAGTGGGGAGGGGAGGGGGGGGGGGAGTGAAGTATTCTCTCTTTCACTCCTGCAGCGCCTCCTCTCTCTCTCTAGCTTTCTCTCTCTAAAAATTATCAAACCCACCACCATTGCTAGCTACCCTCCTCGGCAACCCTCTCCAGCATTGTTGCACCCCCTCTCTCCCTCTATGTCACGACCCCATCCCGCCCCAAATAAGATAGTAACAATGACCGGTCAGTAGTGTCCGACTACCAAAGACTTAACAAGACAAGTTAAGACTGAACTAAAACCTTAGGGCTTATGCGGAATAACCTGTTCATTATAATAATTGACATCCATTCAGAGCAAGTGCATAAGTAT